CTAACACCCGTTACCAGGTGACCCAAAGAAAAACAGCCACCTAAAACTCCACCTCCAGGAGATACAAAACTTCTGTGGGGTCTCTCTCTGTCACACACACACACACACACACACACTTAAAAATAATGAAAATAGAGGTAACAAGGAGGACCCTAAAAAGGACGCATGGATCTCCCTGGGAAAAGGAAATAGATGAGATCTCTTGGGTAAACTGGAGGCAGGAGGAATAGAGGGAAGGGGATAAGGGAAGGGGAACATGAGGGATCAGGATGGTCGAGTTGAGGGCAGGATGGAGGGACAGAGTAATGAAAGTGATATCTTGATAGAGGGGCCATTATGGGGTAAGGGAGAAATCTGCTGCCAGGGAAACTCCCAGCAACCCACAAAGACTCCCAGCAACCCCTGCTGACTCCTAGCAACAATGGAGAAGGTGCCTGAACTGACCTTCCCCTGTAATCAGATTGGTGACTACCCTAATTGTCATCAGAGCACCTTCATCCAGCAACTGATGGAAGCAGATGTGGAGATCTACAATCAATACTGGACTGAGCTCTGGGAGTCCAGATGAAGAGAGGGAGGAGGGATTATATGAACAAGGGGAGGGGGTCAAGATCATGACAGGGAAACCCACAGAGACAGCTGATCTGAGCTTGTGGGAGCTGGCATGGGACTGACCTAGGCCCTCTGTATCTGGGTGACAGTTGTGTAGCTTTGTCTGTTTGTGGGGCTCTTAGCAGTGGGGCCAGTACTTGTCCCTTGACGGATAAACTGGCTCTTTGGAACACATTTGCTATGGTGAGATGCCTCGCCCAGCCTTGATGCAAGGGGTAGGAGCTTGGTCCAGCCTCAACTTAATATGCCATGTTTTGTTGACTCCCATGGGAGGCCTTACCCCGTCTGAATGGAGATGGAGGAGTGAACTGGGGGTAGGGGTTGAAGCGGGGTGGTGGAGGGAATAGAAGGAGTGGAGGGATGGGAAACTGGTTGGTGTGTAAAATAAATAGACGAAAATAAATCCTTAAAGGTCTTTTATATTCAATTACATGTAGAGTGGTCCACAAAAGCCTCATCCTGGTGCTAACCCTTCATGTGAGTTCTCACCCCACAGAAGGGGAGCACAGCATTAGATAGGGCTAATCCAGTAAGATAGCCTCAGACATGTCAGGTCTCAATAACTTTGAGGGCACAATGCAGGTGCATTTCTAGAACCTTCTATTTTAGAACCTATTCCCAGTTCCTTGGAGTCTTCACTCTCTAATCAGTCCAGAGCTGTGTTCATCTCCCCTGAGCCTTTCAACTTACACTCTTAGCTTTAAACTCAATAAGCCTTCAGAAAACTGTTTTCTCCAAGGGGCTGTGGGTTCCACCTGGCCTCCTGCTTCCCCAGTCCCTGCCCTCTGAGTTAGCCCTTGGCGATGTCCCTACCCCCGGCTAAGCTGGCCCACCAAGCCCCCTTCTGTGGCACCCTGCCATCTCTGAGAAGCAACAGTCGTCGTGAGCTGCATCAGAGGGTCTTTACGGAGCAAGTTCGAGAATGCCTGGACAATGGCTACCTGCTCTCCTCCAAGAAGATTGGCTCTGGTGCTTTCTCCAAGGTCTACCTGGCCTATGCAACGCGTGAGCGCATGAAGCACAACCCGAAGCTATTCTCTGACTTGCGGGACAAGCACCACACTATGGTGAGGGAAGCCTGCCACCTCTGTGGGTTCCTCAGGTACCCCACCCTGGCTTCCTCTATAGGACCTCCCTCCTAAGTCCTGTTTCTTCTCAGTTTCCCCATGCTCTGCTCTCCAATCTCTCAAAGTGTATGCCCAGGACAGAAATGTGGGGCTGGCACCACATTTCGAGAATATTGCTCACCCAGACGCTGGGAGAGATTCAGCAATGTGTGTAAAGAACAGTGGGCCAGCTGGGAGGTGGTGGCGCACACCTTTAATCCCAGCACTCGGGACACAGAGGCAGGCAGATTTCTGTGAGTTTGAGGCCAGCCCGGTCTCCAAGAGCTAGTTCCAGGACAGGCACCAAAAGCTACAGAGAAATCCTGTCTCGAAAATAAAAATACAAAACAAAGCAAACAAACAAACAAAAAAAAACAGCGGGCCTATTCTGAGGAACTTCTACACAGCTGACTGCTGCTCTCCGCCTTTCTCAGGTAGCTATTAAGATTGTGTCCACGGCTGAAGCCCCAGTGGAGTACTCCAGAAAGTTCCTGCCCCGTGAGATTTTATCACTCAATGTCACCTACAAGCACCTGAACATAGTAAGAGAGTCCTTGCCACGCCTGCTTTCTACCAATGCTTGGCTCCCCTTCCCTACCTGGAAAATCTCCCTTTTGCCCTTGCCTACAGAGCCCATTCTCACCCATAATTGGGATCTAGTACACCTAACAGTCCTAGCACTCTTGGCCCAGGCCTTCCTCCAGAAGACGGTGTATGTGAAGGATGGGGGTGTTTGGTAGGTGCAGTTGTACGAGACCTACCAGAATAGCCAGCGCTCCTACCTGGTACTGGAGTTGGCAGCCAGAGGTGACCTGTTGGAGCATATCAATGCAGTGTCAGACCTCAGATGCTGCCCAGGGCTAGAGGAAGAAGAGGCCCGAAGGCTGTTCTGGCAACTGGTCAGCGCTGTGGCCCACTGCCACAATGCAGGCATTGTGCATCGGTGAGGGCGCCATCTGGCCTACCTGCCTGCCTGGGCAGCTGCTAACCTACTTGAGCCCAGCCCCACATTCTCTTCTTCACAGAGATTTAAAATGTGAAAATATACTGTTGGATGACCAGGGCTTCCTAAAGCTGACAGGTGAGCCCACACGGCTCCCTTAGTTCAGCTTACTTCTGGACCCCTACCTCCGACTTCCTACTGTCCCACAGACTTCTGTCCTCAACTCTGACCTAGCCCTGACCTTCAGCTCCTACCTACAGCCCAAACCCACTGACTCACACCCACAAGGGGCCCCACCTGGTCTCTCCCTCACTCTCATTCTGTAACATACTTTCAGAGCCCCCTCCCAGACCCCACCATCCTGACAGATACCCTCTTGAACCCACTCTTCCTTCCTGTCCATCACCTGTGTTGCCTTGCCCTGCCTGCATACTGTGTGCAGATTTTGGCTTTGCCAACTGCATGGGGCTCAAGAATTCACTGCTGAGCACCTTCTGCGGCTCTGTGGCCTATACAGCCCCAGAGATTCTCATGAGCAAGAAGTACAATGGTGAGCAGGCTGATCTGTGGAGCCTGTGAGTACCCCCAGGCACCCCCTGCAGGGCCCAGGGGTGGGCTTAGAAGGGCCAGCACCCTGAGGAAGCTGCGTCCCCAGAGGGATCATCCTCCATGCCATGGTGTCTGGGAAGCTGCCCTTCAAGGAACACCAACCCCCTCGCATGCTACAACTGATTCGCCGTGGTCCCATCTTCAGGCCAGGGCTGTCCCCAGGTGAGCAACACCATTCCATGCTCCTCCCAAGCCCCAGCTCATGCCTGGTGAGTAACCAGAGACCAGGACCAACCACAGCAGAGAGTAACAGTATCACCCCACCCCATCACCTGGAAAAGTACCATACCACACATTGCATGCTGGGAAAGCTGAGGGTAGAACTGACTGAAGGATAACAATCCTACTAAAGAATATGGCACTAGTCCAGGATACCCCACCCCTTCTCTGTGCCTCAGTACCCCTCTGATCGTGGGCAGAAGCTCCTGAATCTTTGCCAGATTGGTAAGGTTCTCTCTCAAGCTGCCACCATTTCTGTTAGTTGTGGGTGTGGGTCAGGGTTACTGGCAGGTTCCAGTGGTGAGCCCTCCCATGTAGAGTGCCGGGACCTGATCAGAGGGCTGCTTCAGCTGCATCCGTGTGCACGCCTGGGCCTACAGCAGGTGGCTGCTCACTGCTGGATGCTACCTGCAGAACACATACTGTCCTCTACGCTTGGTGCTACACCAGGTGGGGCATGGCTCACGGTGATTGTTGGGCTGCAGGGAGTGCCTCTAACACTCTACATGACCCTCTGCTTTGGTCTATTGCAGAACAGGAGCATTCCCAGTCGGCAATAGGCCCTGGTAACACAGAGCCTCGTGGAGATATGATGTACCAGAAGCAAAAGCTGCAGCACCTCCAGAGGCAGGTCATCTCTAAGGAGAGAGTCTCTGGTCCAGCTGTGCCGCATCTGGAAACCTGTACCAGAGGAATAGGTTTTACCAGCCTTGGGTTATGGCACACCATGGCAGGTAGTTGCTCTCTACGCCCCACATTCCCCAACAGGAACATGCCTGGGCACTATCTGCTCAATTGAGGGTAGGTGGGTATGGGCAGATAAAAATGTTTTTCTGTGGAGCTGAGGATGTAGCTATCTACACAGGGAGGGCTGGTGGCCTCTGGGTACCTCCTTGGGAATCTGGGTCAGAGGGAAAACACCAGTTTACAAAGCACATGTACCTAGAGTATCAAAGCTTTAACAGAGGGTTGGAGGGCATCACGGTGGGGAGGAAGACTCATGGTATCCAATGAGACACCTAGCCACGGCATAAGCACTTTTCCAGCTTCAGAGATATGGAGTGGAACACCGCAAATTCCCATGAAGACTATGGGCCCCAGGGACCTGGGAGAGCCCACTGCTGAGAGGGAACAGCATACAAAAGCTTCACACAGGTGGATCAAGATCTGTGCCTCAAAAAGGGGGACACAGTGGGGCAAGATTTGCCGTGGTTATCTACAGAATGAGGAAGAAAGACTGTATAGAGGGAGTAGCCCCATAAATTGGGATAGGAGTGTATAAGAATAAATGCTTCAGGAACACCCAGGAAAATCTCTGCAGAGGTAGGCAAGGTGTGACCAGTAGGAGGGTCTGGATGTCTTGAAAGGCAACTGATGCTCAAGGAAGCTAACTGAGGAGCAGATTCTATCTAAATGGCTAAGTCCAATTCAACCTGGGACTAAGGAGGCTAATCAAAGACTAAAGATGGGTGGAGCAGAGAAAGCGAAGAAAAAACAGTAACCAGCAGTGATCCAAAGACAGGCCTAGAATTCAAGTGTGGTTTGTCTTTCAAGGGGGTCTTGGGCAAAGGAAAGCAAAAGGACTCCAAAGGCTGTGGCTCACAGCACGGTTGGTACCTCTAAGCCAACCCATGTCCAGATCCTTCAGTGTCTTCAGGAGTGAAAAGCTCTAGTTGGCTGCCCAGGGCTTGCAATGTTTTTGGTTCAGCCCTACCACAGTTGGGGAAAAGGCTCCTCACAGTCCAGTGGCCATCAGCTACCTGCCTCATGTGTAAGCAGCTAGGGCACAAGACCTGGCCACTTCCAGCTCAATAGTGCAGCACTGAACAGCCTGCATTCTTGCCGGGTGCAGCAGGGCACAGGAACGGGCAGTGCTCTTGAGCTTCTCAGCATTTACTGGGTGTTTACCCTAGAGCCCTGAAGGAACCCTGGCAAAGGTAGACATGGAGCTGGCACTTCAGCCAGAAGAGCCTCAAGTCCGTGGGGCACCCTTGTCTCTTAGCTCTTGAGCAAGCTCTAGCTGCTCTTGCTGGTCTAGCTGTTGCAGCTGTCGCTCCACGTCTTCAGGCACCTGCACCTCCAGCAGGTTGTCCATGCCAACCTCTGGCTCGTCACCAATAAGCACCTGCAAGCAGAGGAGGCGGGTGAGCAGCTCGTTAGCTGTGGGCACAGTGTCCCTAGCCTTTCTGATCCTGCGCTCACCTGGATAAGCTTCTCACAAGCCATTCGCACATCGGGCTCTGGCTCCCAGTTGTGTAGCTCTCGAAGGACCAAGTAAGCACCCTGGTCCCGTATCTGCTGCCGACCAGGCGCAGTGGCAGTCAGCTAGGGAGATGAAAAGGGTTACTCCTCAGATACTAATATGTTTTGTAGGGAGCATTAACATCACAGACCCTTGCTCACCAGCATGATGGCTTCAATGAGCATCTTCCGGATGTCAGCATCTGGCTCTCGCTGTTTGTCTGGTGGCAAGTACTGCAGGTCAACAGGCAGCCCTAGGAGTGAGGGTGGGAGCTGTTGGACACCGAGCCGTGCTCGTGTGTCTGTGAGTGCACGTAGCACCCCCCCAAAGGTTTCTGAAAGGACTCCAGACCTGTACATTTCTCCCTCTCCCCTAGCTTGCATCCTTCCCTCCAGCCTAGACAACCCTGAGGCAACCACCTAAGTCACTCACTGTCCATTTCTTTCTCGGAGAACTCCTCAGGCCCAGCCAAGGGCAACAGCAAGAAGGGGAGAATGTCAACTTGGGGCCCGAGCAACCATTTGTGGTGTCCTGGAGGTGGAAACAAGGAAAGGGGTCAAGAAACTGGTTCGCTGGATCCCGAGGGACCTGTCTCTACCCAGCAATGGCCCAATCCCCTCCTTGTCACGTACCATGCTCGAAGCAGCAATTCCGAAGTGTTCCCACTACTCCTCCCCTCCGCACCGAGGAGTCTGGGTACTGGGTAAGAGGCAGCAGTCGCTGGACCACGCACCTGTTGGAAGGCCACATCACTGCTGTCCTTGTCCACTTCCACTCCCCCTCCCCGCCCGCGTAGGCGTCTGGGCTTCACCTGTCCTGGTCCAGCAGAAAAGCACGCACCTCCGCCAGGTGGCTAAGGTTGGAGAGCAGCGGCCCCAGGTAATGCAGGGGTGCGGCCGCATTGTAGCTGGGCGTGCACAGCGCGTTAACCAGCCGCTCCAGACCCAGGCGCTCAGTCTCAGCGACCATCAATTTCTCCACCAATGCAGCACACGGCACCAGCTCGCGGCTCAGATTGGCCAGTACCGCAGCCGCCTCTTCAGCCCAGGGCCATAGAGGGTCCAACACGCAGCCCAGCAAGCGGGCAGGAAGCTCCGGGTCCGCCGCTAGCAGCTGCTGGTGCAGGCCGGGGTCAGCAGCCAAGTTCACGAGGGCGCGGGAAGCGTCGCGGGAAGGAGCTGGGGCCGGAGCAACGGCAAGCTCGGCAAGAGCCCGCAGCAGCGCTGCCTGTCCTGCCAACAGCGCGCGGCCCGAGTCGGAACCAGTGAGCGCCAACACGTGCTGCGCCGCGACCGCCTGCAGCTCTGCCCGCACGCCGGGCTCTAGGAATGGCAGGAGATTCGCCGCCTCGGTGTCCGCGCCGGCCTCCTGCTCTAACAACCCTCGCTCGCCCGAGAGCCCCGAAACCACCCCAGGGCCCTGCATGCCGCCAGCGGTTTCAGTCTCCGCTCCCTCTACCAGGGCCACTAGCCTGGCCCCCTTGGAAAGCGGAAGTCGTTGCGACCAATCCGAAGCTGAGGACCCAGCTGAAGGGGGCGGGACCGGTCTGGGCGCGAGGCATTGTGGACCACGGTGTTGGGATTTCGCCTAGGTGTTGGGGCACACGTAGGGTGGTGCAGGTTCCTTCCCACCTCCCAAAAAAATCTAAGTGCTTGCGGCGACTCACAGCCGATTCACATCCGCTGTTCTGCCTCCAGTGGTATCAGAGCCACGCGGCTAGCACGCAGAGTTGGAAGTTCGGTGTCCGGACTGTTGCCTGCTACCACTTAGCCCCGGGTTCAGAACCCGATGGTGCAGGACTCCCGGTGAGAATTCAGCCTCTGACTTTACAGAAAGCCCAACTTTGGGGCATTTGTCAGCACTTCTTCAGTGATAGAAGCCTGGGTTAAATAGGCTTGGACAAAATGGGTAGTTAGTGTTGCAGGTTTGGGGGAGTCTGGCGACAGACACTGCACACAGCTCTCTAGCACCCTGTTCGGTTTCTTCCTTCCTCACCTCTCTGCTTCTCTGAGACTCCATATTATCTTTACCTTCTACTGACACATTTGTTAGCACAGGTGAGAGGACACTGACCTTCGCAGCTACACAATCCTGGCAGAGATTCTTTCTCTGAAAGAAAGTTTCTTTCAGTACTGGGGTCTTTTCCAGGAATGTATTCCATTCGGTGTTTCTTGTGCCTCTACTACTAATTTGTTGCTTGGGGTCCTTGCTCTCCCAAGATAGTATCTGGAGTTTTTCCAGGGCTGGTCCTTGACAGCTTTCCTAACCCTCAACTTCTGACAGCTGCAATAATTACAGATCCTAGGCAGCCTTAAATACCGACTGGGACCCTTGGCACTACAGTGACTATAGTGTTTTAGCTCTCGGGTGGGCCTAAGTGTCCAGATTTCCCAGCCTTTGACAATGGCTAGTGATACTGTTCCGAGAAGAGGCTAAGACCCTTGCCTCTTAAAGCCACTGCTGCCACTGTTTCTACTACTGCTCTACTGCTTGTTTTGATAATATCTTTGCACACTGTGTAAAGATGTGTCTCTGTTTTATATCACCTGGCTAAGGCACCTTCTGATTGGTTTAATAAAGAGCTGAATGACCAATAGCTAGGCAGGAGAGGATAGGCTGGACTTGCAGACAGAGATAGGAACCCTGGAAAAGAATCTGAGGTGGGGGATTTGCCAGCCAGACACGGAGGAGGTTGGACATACTGTACCAAGGAGAGGTTACGAGCTATGTGGCAGAACACAGATTAATATAAACAGGCTAATTTAAATTTTAAGAGCTAGTTGGGAACAAACCTAAGCTAAAACCATGCTTTCATAATTAGTAAAAAGCCTCCATGTCATTATCCAGGAGCTGGTAGTCCAGAGGAAGACCCGTATGACAGCTGCTTCCCCATTGCTGCCTCTTTTGCAGCTCTGCTGCTGTGTCTCCATTGTCTTCACTGTCTTCACTTTCTTTCCTTGCCATACCAGCCCACCCAAATCTAGAAAAGTAGGTGAGAAAGGATGGGCATCGTGGTACACACCTTTAATCCCAGCACTTGGGAGGCAGAGACAAGTGGATCTCTGTGAGTTTGAATCCAGTCTAATCTGCATAGTTGTCGGCAGAGTTTCTCTGTGTCTTGGCAGCTGCTCCCGAATAACCACTCAGAGACTTATTAATTATAAATGATTGGCCGAAAACTCAGGCTTATTACTAGCTAACTCTTACATTTTAAATCAACCCATATTTCTTACCTACCCTCTGCCACGTGGCGGTACCTTGTTTCAACACAGCATGTTCATCTTCTCTTTGCATCTGCTCGCAACTCTCAAGACTCCATCCTTCTTCCCAGCATCCTGTTATTGCTGTCTTGCCTATACCTCCTGCTAGCTACCAGCCAGTCTGCCTTTATTAAACCAATCAGAAGGTAGCTTGGCAAAGACATATCTTCACAGTGTACAAAAAGATTATTCCATAACACATATAACACATAGCAGGTTCTGGTTTGTCTCAAAAAAAAAAAAAAAAGATCTCTGGCAAAAACTTTTCTTTGGCCCAGTGCTGGAATGGTACAAGAAATGTTCCTACCGGATATAGTCCCAGCATTTAGGAAGCTGAGATAGGAATCCAGATTTCTGAGGTCACCCCTGCCTAAACGACTTTGAAACCAATCTGCTGTACACACAGGCGTCTCAAAAAAAAAAAATCTCCCAGCTTGTTTACAAAGAGAACCACACAGCCTATATATAATCAGAAGTCAACCATTTGCACCAATCGGAACAGGTCATTTCCCAAATGAAGGATAGCAGCTATACCAATGAAAGCAGTGCTTTTTTTTTCCCTTGTAACAGTCACAGTCTCCTTTGCTAGACTATCAGAGGAAGTGCTCATCTGACCTGGTACAAATAGTTGCTAGGAATGGCCTACCCAAAGCTTCTTCAAACGTCATTGCTGAAGCCACACCTCTTGGAGCTGAAGTTGTATTTTAGCTTTGCACATCTGTAGAATATTCAAAATAGCCAGTGCTAGCATAAGGGTGTTCTAGCCAGCTTCCTGGCATGCAGTCCTTTGCTCAAGGATATTGGGGCACGATGGAGGAGGTCTAATGATGTCAGCCAGGAAATCCAGTAGCCTTGTCCTCCAAAGAAAGAACATTTTCTAAAAGTCTTCAATAAACAGGGGCCCAGTGGTTGAAGGACTTGCCCTGCAAGCATGAGGACTGGAGTTTGGTTTTTGTTTTGTTTTGTTTTTTGAGATAGGGTTTCTCTGTGTAGCCCTGTCTGTCCTGAAACTTGCTGTGTAGTCCATGCTGGCCTCGAACTTACTGAGATCTGCCTGACTCTGCCTACCAAGTGCTGGGATTAAAAGCATTCAAGGACTGGAGTTTGGATATCCAAAACCTATGTATAATTAATAGATACCAATAAAAACATAGATGGATAAATAAATCAGGTATAGTGTTTCATGTCTAATCTCACTACTCAAGAAGTTGAGGCAGGAATATCATAAATTTGAAGTCAGCCTGTTCTATAGAATGAGACTGTCTCACAAAACAAAACAAAACTGAAAACCTTCTTAGAATGGTTGACTTTGATAACAACACAGATAGAGTCCCCTAGAAATGGAGTCTCAATGAGGGACTGTCTACATTAAATTGGCCTATGGACATGTCTGTGGGGGGGATATCTGAATTAATGGAAAGACTTTGCCCGCTGTGGGTGACACCAATCCCTAGGGAGGGGGTCCTGAATTTTCTAAAAGTGGAGAAAGCAGACTTGCACCAGCATACATGAGTCTTTGCTGCCTGCTCCTGACTGTGGGTGTAATGTGACTCGCTGCTCCAGGTTCTTGCTGCCCTGACTTCTTCACAACGATGGACTGCCATCTAGAATTGCAGCTAAGGGGAGGGAAGGGTTGGTTTCATTTAAACTTTTCAGGTCATAGTCTGTCACTTAGGGAAGTCAGAACAGGAACCTGAAGGTAAAAACTGGAGCAGGAGCCGTGGAGGAGTGCTGCTCCTCATGGCTTGCTCAGACTGCTTTCTTAAACAACCCAAGACCACCTGCCCAGGAATGGCACCACTCACAGTGGGCTGGGCCCTTCCACACCAATCATTAATCTAGAACAGTGCCCCATAGACTTGCCCACAGGCTTGCCCACAAGCCAGTTTGGTGGGAGCATTTTTTCAGTTGAAGTTCCCCCTTCTCAAATGACTTTAGCTTGTATAAAGTTGACAAAAAAAAAAAAGCCAGGCAGTGGTGGCACATGTCTATAATTCCAGCATTTGGGAGGCAGAGGCAGGCAGATTTCTGAGTTGGAGGCCAACCTGGTCTAAGAGTGAGTCCAGGACAGCTAGAGCTACACAGAAAAACCTTCTCTTGAAAAACAAACAAAAAAATCCAACAAACAAAAACTAACCAGAACAGCATATGAACCATAAAAACAGAAGCCTACAAAGAAAGAGAGAGAAACAGCTCTCACCTCTGGGCCTGGAGAACAAAGGGAAGAGGGTATCAAACTGGGCACAAGTTCCACCTGACTCCTTTTCCTTAAATGTCATCTGGTTCAGTCATTAGTGTACTTGTTGCAGACATCTTACTGCTGAGATCTACTTGGTACACACATGCAAGCAAAACACTCTTATATAATTAAATAGGGTCAGGCGTGGTGGCACATGCCTTTAATCCCAGCACTTAGGAGGCAGACACAGGTGGATCTCTGAGTTCCAGGACAGCCAGGGCTATGCAGAAAGACTTTTGTTTAAAAAAACAAAACAAAACAACAAAGAATAAAAATAAAAATAGGTCTTCTATCCGAGCATTCAGGAGGCAGAGGCAGGCGGATCTCTGTGAGTTCGATGGAAGCATGGTCTACAAAAGTGAGTTCCAGAACAGCCAGGATTGTTACACAGAGAAACCCTGTTTCAAAAAACCGTAACTAACTAACTAACTAACTAAATAAATAACAAATAAATAGGATGTAAAACAATGAAATTTGATATCAACTTTTGGCCTCCAAAAGCATGCATGCATATGTTCATTTGCACACAAGTGAACATGTATATATACACACAATAAGTAAATAAATAAATATATATATATGTATATATTTTTTTTAATTCAGACCAAACATGGTAATGTTATTTGCCAAGGTGGTAGGACTGGGCCTTGACCATGGAACCTTGACTATCTGTAGATGTTAGGGCTTGTGTCTTGGGGCAGAAAGTAGCGTTGCAGTGTAGGTTGGAGGAGCAGTGGGGGCAGCGCCCGTGGGGGTGCAGGCCAACCTGGGGGAAAAGGCTGCAACTCCACTCGTGGCAGTGGCAGCTTCAGCACCCGAAGGGAGCCATCACGAGCCAGTAGGCCCTGGCGGTACAGCCTGTGACCTGGATGCAGGGAGCCTGGATGCAGGAGAGTGAAGCTGTAGGCTGAGGTTGAGTTGGGGCGGGGGCATTAGGGTTCAATTCTTACCCCTGTGTCTACTCACGCCTAAGAAACATCCCAAAG